AAAAGTAAATTTAAAAAAACAAAGAAAACTGTCTTTTTTGTTCCCAATTTGTAAATCAGTTTTAAAATGATAAGTTCTATATTTGTGGGACATTACAGTGGGAGTGTAATATAGGTGTCTGTACTGCAATAAGAAGTCCTCCGAGGTAGAAGTATACCAAGCTTTATTGAGCATTGCACTCATTCATGTACAGGTCATGTTGAATATTTGTACAACTCTGTCAGTAGTGCAACTCGTGCAACGATAAAAGGAAGAGAGGAAAAAACAAAAACAAAACAGTCCTTCAAGTGTTTTCGACTTCGGAGGAGCCGATCTGCTGCCACACTTTTACGGCATTCAAAAAAAAAAAAAAAAACGTCACCAAGTCGGCAGCCCGCGTACACGACATCTCAAAAGACCAAAATAATAAAAAAAAAGATGAGTTGTTGGCGTATATAATGGTGGACATTCAAGTTAAAAGATGTGACTTTCAATTAAGAGAGCCTCCCAGCGAAGCCTCTCCCAGTTCGGTCCAACGGCAGAAGTCGATGTAAGAAGAATCCTTTTACAAAGTATACAAAACGCACATTGGTATGATACAAAGACTTCCTCCTATTTTCGCTTTTTTGTAAATGTGTCAGTCAAGAACAGAAGAGATTACATAAACACAAAGTAATCCACAGGTTAAAGACGCGCCTGAGCGACACATCCCGTATTCAATCATCAGCAATAAGAGGACAGCTCGTGTATCCGGACTTTGGTCTGTCCCTTCCAGTGCAGATCTAGTGGAAAGCAGTGAAGGACTGAGGACACTATTCAACAGAAGCAAAAAAAAAAATAATCACCCATTTTTTAAATTACAACTCGGCTCAAAAGGAAGCGGAGGAATTAAGAGAGATGTGTTTTGGGATCGTGTACTGTGAGCATAAGGAGCTGTAAACAGAGCAAACGTTACAGAGCAGTTTGAGTTATGGGCATGCACTTCACATACTTTGTAAAACTCTAAAGATTTTCCAAAGAGGGTCTTTGTACGAGTTTAACCCCTGAGCAGAATTCCATTAAAAAAAAATAATAATTAAAAGCAATCAGAAGCACGGCGCTGGAGACTGCTCGTCACATTTCCTCTCGGGCTGCTTTACTGAATGTTCCCGTTTCCTCTGAACCGCACCGAGTCCAGAGAGGTCTCGCTTTTAACTCAGTCGAGTTAAAAGACGGAAGGTGTGTTTAAAAGTAAGTGTTCACGTAGAGCTGGGGGGAAGCGACAAGCGAGCGTTTTTGGCTTCAACACTATTCCAGCACGTGTAAGCGGTATATAAACATTCACTAAATGCTTTGTAACGCACTATAAAGCAGCTGTAAGCAGCTGGTGTATAAACAGATAATGACAATATAGTAAAACACAGCTGGAATAATATAAAACATCTCTTCACAGGAGGAGTTCTAACTGCTGAAAATGTCCTGCTTATAACTACATTATAGTGCGTTATAAACCAAATACAATGCTGCTTATGAATGTTACACAGGGAGAATTAAAGTCTGTTCTGCTGAGAATTCATCCTGGTTCAATATTTATCTTTGGGAAACATTTTCTTACTCTTTAAATAGAAACCACCAGACAGCTGATGCTAAAATAAACCAAATCTTTCACCAGTCTGACAAACCAGTTAGTGCTTTTGTAAAAAAAGTGTCTGACTGCAGTTTGAGGCAAATTCCTGCTGTTAAAGGTTCAGTTCACACATTTTCAGCCAGTCTTAAACCAGCTTTCTATAAAGTGATGGGAGACAAAATCCTTAATTCTTATTCGTTCATCTGAAACGAACGAGGCTTTTTGAGCGGAAATGTTTCAGGACAAAAACCCTCTTTTTGTTTCTGTCCATCTACTTCAGCTGAACAGGGAAACTGTAACTCTGGAAGATATCCGCGAGTCTAACAGAAGCCTCAGAGCAGCTTCAGATACACTTTGTGGACTCTGGATTTTATCCTCCACCTCTTCCATCTGGGCGAGGAACAAAAAACTGAAATTAAAAAAAGGGTCTTTGATCAGTTTGACACCCGTGTGCAAAACGAAGACGAGAGAGAAACAAAGTGTTTTGTGGAATCTGACAGTAAAGACATTAAACAGCTGAACCAGAGAATCAGCACTAGCATTATGTTTCCTGTATTTAACTGGACTAATGTTCTGCATCGCCTATTCTACTTCCAAGAGCCGTCTCGTTCTCTACGTCGGTCCCGAGTAACGGAGGAGGAGCAACAAACTGACAGTTTATCATATATTAATATCCGATTGTAGTTCAGCATTAAATGCCCTTTTTTTCTTTTTTCACAACTTAAGGTTCACACTTCCAAAGACACACGGGTCCTCGTCTCATCCACCTTTAGTCTGAACCAGGAAAGCAGAAGTCTTTGCTTCATACCAGGTAGTCCGGACTGAACAGCTTAAAGCGTGGGTGAGGAGTGCCACAGGCCGACCTGCCCTCTGGGTTTCCACTCTGATCAATATATCACAAATCTTTTCACTCTGAATGTCAGAGGACAAAACATCACCCATCAAACCTCTCTAGGTGAAGAGTTTAAAATAACAAAACAAGAAAAAGAAGAAAACCCCTGAAATCTTTTCTCTGTACAACCACTGCTTAACATCTGAGAATCAGCACAGCTTGGTGTGACACCTCTGACCCTCAGAGACGTTAGGGGAGGAGGGGCGTGAGGACAAGGGGGACAGCGGTCCTGGAGTCTGCAGTGCAGAGATAGAGACTAATCCCTTCAGACTGGGATGCGAACTCGAGGGGGTGGAGATGGGTTCGACGCCCACGAAGCAGAGTCGGGTGCGGCACTATGTGTTGGGTGCGTGACTGAAACTTTGGGGGTGGAGCTGCTGCCGCTTCTGCTGCTCCTGCACAGCGAGCTGCTGGCACTGGTCCGACGTGGAGAGCTTGTTAATTAAAGCAGACACACAGTTCGCTGGAATGATCAGTCCTGAGAGAGAAACAGCGGGTTGAGAATGAATTTACAGCACACGTTAAAAGCAAAAGGGTTCGACGTTATTCTCTTTTATTGTGAGAGTTAGAGGAGAAGATCAACACCTCTCATGTCTGTACGGTAAATATGAAACTGGAAAGATAATCCCCCCCGTAAAATCCACAACTCGTTATTTTTACACTACGGATTAAAACGAGCACCTTATAAGGCCTAAAGCTCACTAGTCCCTCCTAACGTACAGCTGTGAGAAGACCACAGCCTTGGAATTAGACATCCCGTCTCCTCCCAGTTGGACGTGAAAATTGATTATTAATGTATTTATTTTTGCCCATTTTTAGTTTATAGATGTATAAAGTCTGCCGACAGCCCGCATCGTGGTGATTTATAATTAACATTATGGCTTACGACAGGCCCGATACAATATTTAAGACTTGTAAATGAAAGACTTTTTTTTTAATAATTCTTAAGGCCTTTTTTAGGAGACTTAATGAAATACTTTAGAGTTTTTAAGACCTGCAGACACCTTGAATAGAGAACGATGCAGGGAGCTCAATGTGGCCTTATTTCCCAGAGGAGAGGATGAGGATTTAAAAAGGTAAGATCAATCTTCTCCTCTAACTCTCGGAGAGAAACCAAGCGAGCTGGTTTTCCTCCAAAAAGCCCTCCGACCTACCGACTATCCTCTGTCCGTCTTCCGTTCTGAGGCGGACAATCTGCACCTTCACGTTGGTTCCGCTGACCGGAGTGAGAACGACCTCCACCTCGTTCCACACGCTGAGCACCGAGCCACACAGAACGTAGTACGTCCTACACCGGAGACCGACCTCGCACTGCAGACCCACCGACGCCTTCTTACAGTTCCCCCGCCTGCGGGTGAAAACACACAAACACAGCAGGGTTCATAACAGAAGGTGGAAGCAAACATGTTATTAGATTAGAAAAGACATAAACCAACTAAGTGTTTCAGCACTTTCCGACTTCCTCAGCCTGTTTGTGACTTTTAAGCTCATTTGTTTCTACTTAAGATGTAAATCTTTGAAAACAGGTCACAAATATGTTTGATTTTCCAAAAAATATCCTAAAACCTTTGGACAGTAAATATTACTTTGGTTGTTAGGGACTACTGTTCAACAGAGGAATAATTTACACTCTGTGCTCGGTGTATTTGTGTCCATAAAACAGAAGATATGTTACCCTTCCTTGCTGGTCTTTTTATGAGATTTGTTGACAGTACGAAACATAAAATATAAGCAGTCTTAACCGTTAACAGAGCTCTAAAGGGAACATACCAATATGCATGAGAGCAGATTTGTGCTGACGACTTGTACTGGTCGATCCAGTGCTGCTTGGCGTCTTCTGACAACACCTAACAACAAAAAATAAATAAATAAAATAAATCATGATCCAACACATAAATCATTGAGAGTTCTTCTCACATGAATTTCTCACTGAGGAACATCGTGTAACCTTTTTAAACTTCTTCTTGATGTCTGCGTACGTCTCCAGTTTGAGCTGCCTGCCGGTGTTCGGCCTGTACACCAGGAAGAGCCTCTTTTTGGTGTTGACCTCTTTGATCAGTATGGCTGTTTTCTTGTTGTTCCTCATCTGAAAATACAAAATAATAATTAAAAAAAGGGTCGCCGCTGGTTTTACGTATGAAGATCAGTTGACTGTTACTGTACTGGGCGGGTCCAGATGTTGCACACACACACTGGAGCTCCTGTACCTGTACATAGAAGCCATCATCTGGTCCGTTCTGATCTGCCCAAGCATGCGTGGCTTCCTCCCACGACATCCCCCTCTCCACACTCACCTGTGGGGGGAAAGAGACGGATACAAAGTCAGGTAATGTTGCTGCAACCTAAACACATCTTTAAGAGTGGAGGAAGGTCTAAATGGTGTAGAGATATATATCATATATATATATATAATATATATATTATATATATATATATATAAACATACTGTGTAGAGTTCCACGTGTCCTGATGTGGTGTAGCCGGGTGTTAGGAATTTCCTGCAGTCTACCTTCTTCACCTTCTCATCACCAGAGCCCAGATCTAGTCGAGGACAGACAGAGAGAGTTGTTTTTACTAACATTTGATAGCGTTCAGATCCAGTGAGGTACTGAAATCCAACCTTCAGGGCAGACGGATGATTATTACTCATCTGATCCTCACAGAGGAAAGCGCCTTGAATAATTTAACAGTAAAAAATTAAAAACTTCTGTACCAGTTTTATTTCTGTATTTTGGTTGACCATCTTACCAAGAATGCCCATGTCATATCTGCCATTCTTCTTGGCTTCCTGAATAACTGCTCCCAGTGTGTCGGAGAAGTACTGGAACAAGGCGTTCTGCTGCTGGACCTCCATGCCCAAAATACGGTTCAGGAACTTGCCGATGTTGTTGTAGTCTGTAGATTGAACAACGTATACGAGTTAGGTTTCCACAGAACTGTACGTGAGTCGCAAATCACATTCAACAGCGAGAAACGTCGTTTAAAATCACCTTTGTCCAGTGAAAGTGTGCCGGATCTGTCCTCCACGTTTATGAGGCCCACACCTATTAATCCACCCTGAATTTCTGCAGAGAAAAAGAATCGGTTATTACTCAGAGCTACAGATGAGAACAACTGATTAAAAGAGGAGAAATCAATACGATCGGCAACAACCAGAGAAGCCCAGCCTCGTCTGGAACAGCAGATAAGTCGTACCTTTGAAGAAATCACCTTTAAAGCCAGAGGGGGGAGACACTAACGGAGAATCGAGCTTTACGATGGACTTCATCACAATTTCCAGAGCGTTTCTTCCGTACTGTAGCAAAGATAAATGTGAGTGAGTCACCGGCAGGTAAAAACACGAACAACCTCCGAGACATCTGATGTACTTACTTTGTTGTCAAAATTAAACCTGCTGAGATCTCTGGTTTCTGTTGCTCTTCTGTCTCCGTGAGTGAGAGCACCCTGTGAAGGTTTGACACACGGTTAATATTTCATATCGATATTTTAACTTCCTTTAAAGACATTTTCACAGAATGATTCAGTCGATTTAGACTCACCAAGCTTTCTAGTCTTTTGGCGACGATAGATGCAAATCTCTGCTCTCCTGCGAGCTCCGATATGAGGAAGACGTATTCTGGAGCGGTGACCTGGTTCGACCTGTGAGTTCTCCCTGCGACCAAACAAACACCGGAGCGATACGGTTATTCTATATTCACCACGTGAGAGTAGTTGAAGCTCAAACTGGTGCTTTGTCAGATACAGGAGGTCTTCAGTGAAAGGTTTTTATGTACTGACCGAACTGCTGTATCGCTCTGTCTGCGCTCCACGGCAGCTCCAGCGTCATGTGGACTCTCCGCCGCTGGTTCTTCACTCGACGATCGGCCTGCAGGGAAATACCTGAGCTGGCAGCTTCTGAGATGATGGCGATGTTCTGGTTGAAGAGAAAGACGCATAAAATTAGAAAAAGTAGTTGGAAATGAAATCCCACTGGGCGCCGCACCAATTAGTAAAACAAACCGGTTGCAACTAAAAGTGTTTTCACACTTAACTGGTTTTGTGCAGATTAAACAAACTCTGTGCGTTTTGTTTGTTTGTGCTGTTGTCAAAGCTGTCGAAGGAGCTCTGGTGTAGACTCAACAATCCCACTGAAAAGACCCAAAAAGCTGCTACCAAGCTGCTGCTACTTGTTTCTTGTGAGAGCAAAGACTTTGAGACAGGTGTGATTTTTATTAAATCCATGTTCAGTCCGCGTACGTTTATATTTCCTTTGATTTATCAGGAAATCAAAAAGGAACCAGAAGAGATGAGCAGCAGGTGAACGTGTGAACAGAGACCACACAGCAGCGACACTTCTGTAATACTGCAGCGTAAGATTCCTCTTTTTCATCGCACGCGTTATTTCTTGGCGACACCGGAGGAACATAAACGAACACAGCGGGTCCAGCGAGGTGCAGCGCGACTTGTCAGAACTTCCCGATGTTGAAAGAGACGTCACCCAAACGGTTTAATGAATCAGTAAGCCTGTCAGTCTAATTTAACTTCACGTTCACACCTCTTGGTTTGTCTTTGCTCGTTCCAGAGTAAGTGAACTGTGGGAATGAAAGCTTCTTAGTTCTGATTCGAGTATTACAGCAACAACCCTCATGTTTGGTGAAAGCTTCTGTTCCCATTTCCACTTTAATAACTTTAGCTCACAATGTTTCTTCCCTTTTAAAAAGTTTCATTACCAGAATTGAGGCTCGAAGGACAGAAAGTGTCGAGGCGAATGGTGATGTGTAATTTCGGGCTGTATAAATACAGTATGTCTGGACTTTACCTTCTCTCCATCCATGAACCTCTGCTTCTCTGTGAGATTGAGGATTTCCACCGGGACGTCCAGCTCCGAGCGAGATTCGTAAGTGATGCTGCCATCGTCATTACTGACCACACGACCTTTGCGACCAGTCATCTGAAGAAACATGTACAGTCAGTTAAGATACAATCTGAGCAACGAAGAAGAAATAACACCTTTTTAAACGTTTATACCTCAGCTACGTTGTCGGGACCTCCCAGTTCGTCTATCAGCTCGTCCAGAGTGTTGGGAGGGAGGTCCTCAGCCAGATCCTCCAGTTTTTCCAGCAGATCTCTCTTCATTTTCTGGGCGCTGTCCACTGCGTCCTCACTCGTTACGCAGCTATCCTGAACCTCTGGCTTGACTTAAGAACAAGTAAAGACAAAGCGCTTTAATCTTTCTTTCTTTAATCCTCCAAAAGCTCAAACGGAGAGGCGTCACTCTGCTTCGTCGTGTGGCGACATGCTCACCTGTGGCAGGTGCGCTGGGGGGAATAACAGAGGCAGTGAAAGCGGGCCTGGAGGAGCCCAGCCCCGAGGCTAACAAGGCACTTTGAATGGAGTCTGGATCGATGCTCTTCCTTCTTTTCTTCTTCTTCTTCTCCTTCCCTTTCTTTGGTTCCTTCCTGATGAGCCACGGATCTGAGGCGGAAGAACAAAGAGGTTCGCTGTAAGTTTGATATAAAATGTCTTAATTCAGCTTCCACAACCTCCCTCAGAAGTCTCACCGTCTTCCTCGTCGTCATCGGACTCGTCTCTGAACGGGTTGAAATCGTCGTCTTCGTCCGCTGAGCTGACAGATTTGAAGCTGTCGTCGCTGTCTTTGTCCGACTCCTCCGACTGGCTCTCCTCCGAGCTGGTTCCCGACAGGCCACCGTGCCTGCGAGGCTTCTTTTTCTGCTGCTTTTTGATCTCTAAACCTGGAGAGATGATAGAAGACAAACGTTTTGAACATTTTCAACACAGAGCCGTCTGTTCCGTCTCCTCAGAGCGTTCGGGTTTAGTTTTAATCTGGTGTCGTGATTCAGCATTAGCTTAAACGTTCGATTACCTTTCCTTTTCTTGCCCTTCTGTTCTGGTTGGGCTGCAGTTTCAATCGGAGAGGGGGTCTTCTTAGCGGGGAGGTCGATACCCAGCAGGCTGTAAAGCTTCTGTCTGTCAGGAGCTGGGAAGTGCTTCTCAATCAGCGACTGCAGCACACCTCTATAAACAAAAAACACTTTATTACAGTGACACACACACACACATTGTGGTGTTTAAACTTTATTATCTTCAGTCAGTCCGTACTTTGCAGTGGACACAAAGTCATTGAGCTCTCCGCCTCCTTCCTCCAAAGCCTCGAGTGTTCTTGCTTCTCCAGTGGACTGAAGACCGATCACCACACACTGCGGAGGAAAGAGCTTCTTAAGTATTTTATACGCTCAGCAAATTAATGTCGAATAACGTTAGAGCAAGCAGCACAGCATTAAGTTTCAGGAAAGCATTAGTCTTTCAGTTTACGAGATTATCTTAAGTCTCAACCCCTGTTGTTCTTTTAGAGCTGCCTCTATGCAAACGTCTTTTCCCCGATCAATCGAACAGTCCAAAGCCGTTAAAACTGTAGTTTGTTGTGCTCGTATACTACTTCAGCAAGTCCATTAAAAGTGCAGGACAACACCTGCCAGATTAAAGCTGTATGAAGAGCTTCTTTTTCACCCCGGCTCTAACAGCTTTGTCGTTATTCATAACATGCGGGCGACTTGCAGAACACAAACACACATCTTCTGAGTGTTGAATGATATACAATCACCAGTATTTGATTTTTGTCAGGATGGATGTAAAACCGTCTTATTAACGAGGCACAACCCGTCTGTACGAGTTCATGTTCGCTCCTCGTGGTTCATTTGTAAAAAACAGGAACTTAAATGTATCGTGTTTCTCTAACACACCTACAGTTTGTGCTACCCTCCTTTTCCTGTTGGGTCTGAGTAACGCACACTTCATGAGGTCATCTGTGGAGGTTTTTGTGAGGTTTATTTTAAGGTTTAACGGATCTCTCACCTCGTGCTAACACAGCACAATTGTTGACAGTTAATTGTGCTGCCAGAAGTTTTCTTTTATATGTGTCACCTTTCCATTTTGGACCTCCTCTCGAGCCAGCTGGACCACTCTGCGGACTTTGGAGGCAATGCAGAGGTATTTGAAGAACCTCTGGTGAGCGGACCAGAACTGGCCCCACATGGACTTCTTCATACGTTGCTCTGCGTCCATCAGGTTCGCAGCCTGCTGGAACTTCTCACGTGCACTCACCCACTACAAGAAGCAGGAGAGCATCATGAAATCCAGTTTATTAACAGCAAAAACAAGTAAAAGAATCACAGCAATGAGCTTAAAGTGCAGTGTTTCTAATGCTTACCAGTCTCACAGATTTGTTGTACATGTTGATGTACTTCTGGGTCAGGGGAACCTCCTCGATCTTGAAGGTCACACCTGTAAAACTCAACTGCCTCGCGATGTACATCCCCCTTAGCTTCATGTCCATAGCAACTATCTCCATGGCGCCAACACCTCTGAAATTGAGGACAAAAGAAATACACGTTAGGTTTTCTACACAAGAACTTGTTTTTCTTTTGCCACAACTGCTGTAATCTGCAAAAAACAGAAAGGTACCTGCGCTCAACAGCTTGGATAAAGTTGCCGAACTCTCTGAAGGGTGTTTTGTGTCCCCAGATGCCCAGACGATTCATGTAGGCCATATTTCGCGGTTCAGAGGCACCTGCGTAGAAACAGGTTCATCTTCAGAATCTGCACAGACTGCCAATCCGTTCAAAAAAAAAAAAAGCAGATTTCATTCGATCGCGTCTACTGACCTGTAGCACTCGCATACACGACCCGAGCCTTGGGCAGTTTGTTCTGCAGTTCCAACACGGCGAGCCCTGTTTTTGTAGGTTTGGACGATCCAATCGGACACACGTTTTTGGCTTTGTGACACTCGTCGTAGACAATCTAAAGACACTCTGTTAAGGAAAGTAGCCGCGTTTATAAAAAAGACGTTCTATAAAAGGATCTTGTAAAGTGAAAATTAATTCCTGAGAACATCTATTCATCGAATTCACGGCCTTGGACTGAAAGGATACGACTCCATCGAAGTCCTCGCCGCACCAGTGGAGGAGCTGTTGAAATCTGGTCTTGTACTTCCCTCCCGATTGGCTCTCCCCGATCAAGGACGAGTAGGTGGCAAATATCACACCTTTCTTCACACTCCCATTGTGTTTTGAGGAGATTTTGCCATATTTGAACTGAAAATATATAAAAAAATGTAATTGAGTCACAGTCTGACATTAAGAAACACGTCTTACTGTTTTCATCTACGCGTCATAAACACATCTAACCTTGTTCAGCGAGTGAACCTGGATGTTTTTGGCTCCTATATCCCTCAAATCCCTTTCGGCGTCGTACTTTAGGTCATTTGAGACGCTGAACCTGAACGCAAAGAGAGGAGAAGGTGTGAGAAGAGGTGAATCTGTTGGCAGAACATTGGTTTGAAAAGTAAACTGGGTTAAACATATAAAAACGGATTTGGTCTACTTACCACAGTGATCTCTTCCTGCCTAAAAGGTAATTCTCATAGATGATCCCAGCAATGGTTCGGCCTTTCCCCACACCGGCTCCATCGCCGATCAGATAGGCAGCTCGATCGCCGCTCGGCAGGAACGTCTCGTGTTGCTGTCGAACATCGGGACAAGAAACGCACAATTAAAACCAAAAGAGACGCCGTGAAACGCTGCAGATTTAGTCTCGCTCTTGTGATGAAAATGTATTTTAGTTTAGGCCGTATTATATTTGGTAACGGCACGACGAAGATCTTTCAACAGGTTTTTTTTTTTTCCTCTTTACAAAAAGGGATCACTGGTTTTAACCTGAGCTGCGTATGTGATTGCTTCCAGCTGCAGAGCCGACAGGCAGCCGCGGTCGATGGTTTCTTCAGGGATGGACAGTCTGTACCACACGTCAGGAGGGTTAACACTGGACAGGGAGCTGGTCTCCACCACGGGATCAGGATGCCGCAGACCCACCTTCACTGCAGGGACGAAGGACGAAGGATAATACAGTGAAGAGCTGTTATCGTTCAGTCGAGTTCACTTTCACTTTGTTCTGCTCAATAACAGAGTAAACGAATACAACAGTTTACATTTCATCGGCATGTACTCCGCGTAAGTTTCTGCGTGGCCCAACTCGTCTTCCTCTTCCTCCTCGGGCTCGTCTTCCTCCTTCATCCCAGGGGGTTTCTGTGGACACATAATGAGACATCCGGTTCTCACGACGCTCTTCGGCTTTTAAAGCATCTCCTAAACAACCACAGAGGGTTTCTGGTGGTTCAACAGGTTCACTTAAAGACTTTTTAGGTCCATTATGAATCCAGTTTAAGACCTTTTTCACATTCAGTTGGTGCTGGTATTGATTTTATGTCAGTTTATAGATGTTACAGCATGATCAATATCCCAAAAACACATTTAGGAAACACTGAAAAATGCAAAGTAAAATCACATTTACGGCATTTTACTGTATTTCTGACTGAAGAACGACCCTCACTGCCATATATATGATGCCTTTAACGTTTAACATCTTTTTTAAAAACAGTATTTTAATACTTACCAAAGAATGTGAGAAGTTTTGCATTTTAATGGTGTCATTGATCCAGATCCTGGCGGGATCTTTACCCAACACTTCCTTCTTGACTCCATTGTTCATTTCACCTGAAACACCAGCAGAGAAAAGTCTCACGCACGCTGACTAATGTTTAATATATTTAGAGACGAATACAGAATCTCAGGTCG